ATAATTTTGGTCTCTTTTTACGACATACATAAATATTAATTTATCTCTTAAAATATGACAGCAATTAGCGATAACGGAATACAGCAATCTAATAAATCTTCATTAGACGAAATCGTCATGTCCATCTACTCGATATAGAATTCATGTAATATTGTCATGATGCGATATGTCACTTAAACAAGCAACTAAGAAATAATTTATATAAGATGCCACCGTTTTTCAAATTAATCCCCTCTATTATAGTATACACACATATCAATTTCATCATTAAAATATTTTCATTATTTCATTTTCAAAACACTGAAATATTCAATACAAAAATGATCGAAAATTTTTTAAACGTATTGAATATATTTTTTTTCATCGATGACTATGGAAAGACCAATTTCTTTTACAATTGTAAGAGAATGTTAGTTAATATTACGTAGTAATGTGTATACTTGGCAACACTATAAATCGCCTACGCGAATTTTATTATTCAATCTCGCTCGTTTTATTGGCGCTATCAATGCGCTCCAACATCAACAATTTCGCTACATCACGACCAGTCGCAGATGATACGTGGTCAGGGTCACATCGATTCAGCCGATCAAACGTTACTTGAGAGGAGCAACATGACCGTCGTGCTAGTGTCTCTGATTCTCGGGGCGTTTATAGCCCTTTACTTTTATTTGACGCGAAATTACAAGTACTGGCAAAAACGTGGAATTCCATGTGTAGATGGAGCTTTGCCAGGGTTCGGTAACATGCTATCGGTGATCTGCATGAAGACGCACATCGCCGATTTCTGTTACAAAATCTATAAGGATAATAAGGGTCACAGCATGGTGGGGATCTATGACTTTACATCACCGTCGTTAATAATCATGGATCCGGCACTAGTGAAAATGGTACTGCAAACCAATTTTACAAGTTTTGCCGAAAATGCTGTTCACATTAATAAAGAAACAGACAGCCTCTTGTCATATAATCCCTTTGTTCTGTCCGGTGAGAAGTGGTTAAACAGCAGAAAGCGATTGACATACGCATTTTCCAGCATGCGACTGAAGATGCTGCTCGAAAACGTTAAAAAGGTGTGTGTAACAATGGAGAATTACATGGACAGAAAGTTGAGCAACAAAGAGACAGAGTTCGAATTGAAGACCTTATTTTCCAAATACTCCGCGCAGGTAGTAGCTGCTGCTGGCTTCAGCGTAGATGGATACTGTTTTGATGACGACAAAAAAGATATATCTTTCAGAAAACTTGGACAAGCCATCTTCAAACCATCCAAACGAAGTACAATTATCTTCGCTCTCATATTTCTCATTCCGTCGTTAAATAAAATCTTGAAACAAAACCTCATTCCGAAGCACGTCGAAAATTTTTTCAGGACATTGGTTGCAGAACTCATGGAGCAAAGGAGAAAGGATGGAATACCTAGAAACGATTTTCTCCATTTGATGGCTGAATTGGAGCGAGCAGAAGGCGATAAATTCGATAACGAAATGCTCACGGGTCAGGCAATGTCGTATGTTGTCGATGGCTATGAGACGTCTAGCAGTATTATGAGCTTCGTCGGATTTTATTTGGCTAGTTACCCAAAAATACAAGAGAAATTACACGAGGAAGTGATATCCGTGCTCAACAAATATAATAGTGAGGTCACGTTTGAAGGCTTGAGGGAGATGACATACATGGACCAGGTCATCAATGAAACGATGAGGATGATACCCGGAACATTGTTGATGAAGAAACGTTGCACTGAAGAATTCGAACTGAAAGGGTCCGATGGAGTTGTCTGTCGCGTGCCACTTGGAATGGAGATTTTGATACCAGTTCAAGCTCTCCACAAAGATCCTCAATATTGGGAAAATCCCGAAGAGTACGATCCTGAAAGATTCAACTCGGACAGAAAAAGTAATATCGATAGGTTCACCTTTCTTCCATTTGGCGAAGGCCCGCGAATTTGTGTGGGCATGAGAATGGCCCAGCTGCAGATGAAGGCAGGTTTGGCTATGATTGTGAAAAAATACAAGATGGAACTGTCCCCGAAGACGCAAATGCCTTTAAAGTTGATTCCTGGAAGCATATTACCAACACCAAAAGGCGGTCTGTGGGCTTATTTTCGGCACCTTTAAATACGAATAGCTTCTTTTAATTTTTTTTCAAGTTTTTAATCATGCATATTTCTTTATATCAAAGAGAAAAGTTTGCAATTTATTTTTATGTAAAAATGGTACTCTCTCTTCAAATTTTGTCAGTTTTAATTACTGTAACTTTATAAAAGTAGAAGAGGTATTCGGAATCTTTTTATGCAAATATTTTCATTAGTACTTAATTAAGCAAGGAAATAAACAAGAATTTGATCATCTTCATACATTCAGAAATAAAAGATCAGAATAATTAGAATTATGTAATTTTTGACATATTTTTTATATAAATATTATGATTGTAAGTCCTTAGTTTAGTAAGAAAGTAAGAATTTTACCATTTTCAGTAAATAAGATAATAATTATGTATCCATTATTGCGTGAAACAAAAAGAATACAACTAAAAAGAGTGTCCCTTTTGTACAGAACGCTACAAAATAGCGCACAGAATGTGCCATTTGTGTCCCGGATACGACTGATCCGAGAATGATTAATTTCACAAGTATCAAATAGCAAATAAATAAAATACTTATACTTCGGTTACCATTTTTCTCATCTTTTCCTTCTCTCCTCCCGCTCTCATATCTCATCCCATTTGTTCCATCGTGGCATTCACAAACGCATTGGCGAAAAGACTAACTACGATCCTGCACCCTAGTATCAGTCACAAGAATATGACAATCGTGTGACACTTTGAAACGGAATAAATATTTTATTGTAGTTGAAAAGTAGCGCGGAGCAAATACAATTGCACGGAAGAAACGATTTGCTCAAAAATTAGCGTCTTGCATGGAATTTATATATGTATTTTGTGTGAACAGAAGCTAATAGCGTTTACGAATGGAGTTTGAACCTAATCTGGGTTGGATCGATGACGTCATATGCTTTACTTTGATTTCTGATTGGATGAGATTATAGTTTTAAAGGATCGGAAAAAAACCCAATTTTTTCAATTTTACCGCGGATTTTTTCGGTTTTTTCTTAAGAGTAGAAAAATTTCATGTTGACGGAAAGGTCATGTTGACGGAATACTCAACATATTAATTACACATATGTATTGTTGAGGAGGACTCCAAAGTGAGTCGAAACGTTCAATAAAGAAGATTCTACATTAATGATTAATTAAGATTAAAATTAATCGTTGGCATCTTCATCAGCCCGTGACTCGTATATACGTATATTTTACAACAGTTGCAAAGCTGCTTTTCGAGCTGCTTTTTCTGCTGAACGCAGCCATTGACATAATGGGTGCGTTCAGCAGAACGTTTGTTTTGCAACTGTTGGAAGTTTCCTTCGCGCTGATTGGATCATACTTTTAGATCTAGAAGAATGGTCCTATCTCAGCAGACAATCATAAAACGGTTGCAAAACTGTTGAGTCTGCTGAACGCAGCCATTCCATTAGAACTAAAAATATAAACCAAACAGATACAAGAGCTTACTGAGCGTTCAGTGAGCGGTCGTGATACTGAATGCACTCAATGTCGATATACTGCCTACTCTGTTGGTAATATGTATATATAATATATAATACATTAAGGCCGGTATTCATAGTCAGTTCTTATATTCAAGACCGTCTTAAGTTCAGTCTTGAGATGTCACGAACCAATCAGAGGGTCGTATTAGCATCTTAAGACATTACTTAAGACAATCTTGAAATAAGAACGGACTATGAATACCGGCCTAAGAGAGAAAAGTAGCAAATTTTGCAGAAATACAAAATTATCGTATTTTAGGCATACGATAATGAAGTGCTATCGTACATCGTACGTATAAGTGAAATTATCGTATGTGTACGATATTATCATACGGTTAAGGCCATCACACGTACAAAAATTTTAGTCGTAATCGTAAAGCCGTAAACAAATCGGCCAATCACAGTCGAGTGTTTAAAAACTCGAGATCTCAATTTTGATTGTGATTGGTCGATTTGTTTGCGACCTTACGATTCCCACTAAAATTTTTGTACGTGTGATGGCCTTTACTAACACTGGTACTCACCAATAAATTTAGGAAGTTACAGATTAAAGCGGGGAACACAGACTCTTGCATAACGCATAACCCCGGATTTACAATAGGGTTTTAAGCCTTAAGCCATAAGAAATGGGTGAATCACAGTCGATTATTCCCCTCGGATTTGACTGTAATTGGTCAATTTCTTACAACTTAAGGCTTAAGGCCGCAGCACAGACTATTGCATAACGCATAACGCATAGTGCATAAGCGAATCAACTAATCAGAATTTTTCCTTTCCTTCCATTCCATGGAAAAGAAGAATTTCGATTGGTCGATTCCCTTATGAGTCTGTGCTGCGGCCATTAAAACATCTATTGTAGATCCGGACTGACACATAAGGTATAAGAAATTCATCCAATCAGAGTTCTTTATTTCATGGAAAGGAAGGAAACGAAGGATTTTGATTGGTTCATTTCTTAGGCCGGAATCAGACTACGCATTGAAGATTGAGGTTGAAGATTGAAGATTGAAATTTGACCAATAAGGACAAAGAAATTTTAGTTCCTTTCATTTCGATTGGTCAAATTTGAATTTTTCAATCTTCAATCTCAATCTTCAATGCGTAGTCTGATTCCGACCTTATGCATTATCCCTATAAGCGCATAATATTATTTAATATTTTAAGCATATTCTTAGAATATTAATTGTACATTTAATATTCTAAGAATATGCTTAAAATATTAAATAATATTATGCGCTTATAGGGATGTGTTATGCGTTATGCAAGAGTCTGTGCTCCCCGCTTAATACAATTCATGGCTACGTTTACACC